TTGAATAAATCTTGATGACATGAGAAGAGAGTTCAAAAAGTTAACATATTTACTTCAAAATTATTTGCATTGCAAATTCAAAACCATCTGAACACATTTTTGGCTAACTTGGTGAACAGCGATCTAGCTTTTCACAATTCACAGTTCTATTTTGTAATTAATTTTCTTTGTGTTAGTTACTTGACTTCCCTGTTTTTCTCTAGTATATGAATACATGAGTATTAAAAAAGGTTTAAAGGAAATTTAATTATGTCTTTTCACAAAACAAATATTTAGATGTTTATTATGTTATTTTTGACCAGAAAACCACTTTTATTTTTGTAATAAACACTTGATGTGGATAGAAAACATTTAATAGTGAGATTCGTATTAAAATTTTCATGACACTTGATGTTAGAAGTATTACAGTAAACTGTCATTAGCACAAACTTACTTAATAGGGACAAATCTTGGGTCTCAGATAGGAAACAAAGTAATACAGATGTATATAATAATTTTAAAAAACTAATTCTTATAATCTGAACACTGATCATTTTGGTCCCTTGGGATTCATGTTAATGAGGGTTTATATACTCTGCGTGCGTGTGTGTGTGTACATTTATATACACGTATTCAAGAACAGCTTTAAGAAGCATCTAACTTTTTAATAGGAATATTTCACGGAAACATCCACCCCAATAGTAATTATTTACGTTGTATTAATGTTGGTCTTTTATTAAATTCTGAACATGGGGATAGATGTTTACCTGAAATGTTGCTATAAAAAGTTAGACTCTTATCAAAGGTATACAAGTATATGCTAATTCTTTTATTATATCACTACTTTGTTTTTATGATAATAACCAGAAGCTTATTGGTTAATGTTTAAAACCATACAATGGGCAAATTAATATAAGTTATTAAGAATACTTTTGTTAATGTTATTAACGGATCACATTTCTAAACAGATATATGAATGTTGTCAGAAAACATCAAAAGACGAAATACAAAATCTGTAATATATCAGGTGAAAATAACATTAATAAACTAAAACTCACCTTTTTGAACATCCCAAATTATGGCAGTATTGTCTATAGAACCAGATATTAAATGCACTGAATCTA